TCAACTAGATGGCTCATGAGGTTTCTTCCAACTCTATGATTCGATGATTCTGTGATTACTTTTGAGCTCTCTCCCTCTCGGTTAGGAGGGAGAGCCAAGACTCCAGAAGGAAGGAGCAGAATTCAAAGGGATCTCAACGGATGAGAGAGATGATGAGCCAAAACTAACACGGTGAACCTAAAAGGGGACAAATGAAGGTTCCACTTAGGCAGAAAAAAGGAAATGCCAAGAGACCAAATGGGGAAGATGATGCCTGGCTCCACAGCAGCACGTGGGGAAAATATTTTGGAGTCCTCGTGGAGAACATGGAACATGATGTGGCAGCAAAAAAAGCCAACGGGATTTTGGCCTGCATCAAGAGGAGTCTAGTGTCCAGATCCAGGGAAGTCCTGCTCCCCATGCTCTATTCTGCTTTGGTCAGAACACACCAGAAATCACACTGTGTCCAATTCTGGGCACTGCCATTGAAGGGAGAGGTTGACTCTAAGCTGGAATGTGTCCAGAAGAGGGAGACTCAAAGGATCCTGGGTCTGGAGAACAAGCCCTATGAGGAGTGGCTGAAAGAGCTGGGCATGTTTAGCCTGCAAAAGAGAAGGCTGAGAGGAGGCATGAGGAGAGCCATGGATCATGAAGGGAAATCCTAGGGAGGAGGGAACAGGCTTCCTTTCTGCTGCCCTGGAGACTAGGACGCAATGGAGCCACGGCTTCAAAGGAAGGAGATTCCACCTGAACATGAGGAAGAACTTCCTGACCGTGAGAGAGAGTGGTTCAGCAGTGGAACTCTCTCTCTGACCTGGAGTGTTGTCGAAGGAGGCTCCTTCTTTGGAGGCTTTGAAGCAGAGGCTGGATGGTCATCTCTTGGGGGGGCTTTGAAGGTGATTTTCCTGCTTCCTGGCAGAAAGGGGTTGGACTGGATGGCCCACCAGGTCTCTTCCAACTCTAGGAGTCTAGGATTCTACGAATCTACCAATCCTGACAAAGCCTGGCCAGCGCTGTGCCTACAGGTTCATCGGAACGCGCAAGCCCCCTCACCACGACAAGGTGACAGTCCATCGAGGGGGTCCATGGTCATAAACACACAAGAGAGAACCATGGGTTCCCTGTCTAAACTTGGTCCAAGACAGTCTTACAAAGCGATACCATATCAAGAAAAGGATCTGCTATAATGATGATGATGATGATGATGATGATGATGATGATGATGATGATAATACAATAACTTTATTCTTATTCCTTGCCACCATCTCCCCAAAGGGACTCGGTGAGGCTTACATATGGGACAGAATGTTCACCAGACATATAAGCAAAACAGTCCATTAAAACAAAAACACAAATAAAATGACCTAGCAAAACATAACAATACAGATTAAAATTAAAAATACAGATTAAATACAGATTAAATACAATAATGACCTAGCAAAACATAACAATACAGATTAAAATTAAAAATACAGATTAAATACAGATTAAATACAATACAGATTAAAAATAAAACAAAAAGTATAAAACAGCAGCATTGAAAACTCCATCAAAACAATGCTTGACAAAAAGCCAATAACCAGAAATACTAAATTGGGCATATCCATGCTATAAAAAGTACCGGGCATGGGATAGTGCAAGGGCCGGGGAATTGGATGAAGTGCAGAAACCAGAGAACTAGCTGGCAAACTAGGGAATAGGCCTTCTCAAATGCTGTAATCATTACTGACTGAAGTTTGACCTCCTTTCACACTTCTCCCCACTGAAATCCTTCCCACCACCCCCCAATTGGCAGTTTAAACTAAATGGTAATGATAGTTTGGAGAGGTGTTGTAGATACAGGTGATGAGACTAGAGGAGACAGAGATGTAGGCACAGAGGAAATTGCATTTGTACAGCAGATAAAATAATATCTGAAGGATAGATTGACTCTAATAACATGAAGAGAGAAGGAAACTCAAACAGTTAGCATGACCAAAATGTGTTTTCTTTACAGAGATGAGGACTTGGAATAACATGTTAGTGGGAAAGTTGACATTCCAACTTTAGTACTGTTGGACTTTCCTCATCTCAAGGCTCTGTGAACTGCCTGGTGGTCCAGCCAAGTCCATTACTATTTGCAGATTTACGTAGCTGATTTTTTTTAAAAAATTCTTTCTTTTAAAATAGTGTTTATTCAATTTTTGAACATACATTAACTAAAATAAAAAATGGAAAATAAATTGATTTTATAAAGACATTTCATGTTTCTTAAATAGCTGCCTGTGGAGCAACAACCAAAGCCCACTGAGACTCAGTAGAGAAACCAATTCAGAAGAGAAACATTCTCCCTAAATTTCTTATAAAAATCTCTGAGTATGCAGCTTGGATAGTGTTTCATAAATATTCCATAATCACATTTAACAGTATGGAGTGCAGTTTCAGCTTTGCAATGTATGATGCACAAGGATTGCATGTTAACAGTACAACCCCTCCCCGCTTTAGTCATCTATTGAAGGAAAAAGCAAATGCAGAAGCAAATGTAAAAAAAATTGAGGGAAGAATGGGGCAAATAGTAACAACTTCATACAAGAAGACTGGAATTCAAGATGAGTTACAATGCAATGATTGCGATATAGGTAAATCAACATTATATTAAGCTTTTAACATTATTAAAATAGCACTACTAGCTGCCTTGAGTCTCTATGGAGAGAAAGGTGGGATAGTAATAAAGTGAAGGGGGGGGGGAGAAAAAGCAGTTAACAACAGTCCATTTTAAAACAATATCAAACCCTCTTACAGTACTATGTTCATTTATTAAAATCTCCCTAAACCATTAACAAAGATTCCTCGGGACACTAACAATTATTTTCATGTATTGAAATTAAATAAATGTAAATTGGGGTACATAAAAGGAGAAATATTTTGTGAAGGCAGATTCCAGTCTAGAGAAATGTCAGCCAGATACAGGAATATTTAAATCAATAACATGTCAGCCATTGTCCGACTGGAAGAAATGTTATCTTTTTATAAGAGTTCCTAAAGTAGAGCTTACTGCCAGGAAATTGGGTATTTCAGGCCCAAGCATACCATTCTTTAGACATTATCTTGAAGGAGTGTATTCTGCTTTGAAGTCTGAAATATCAAATGGCTGCATTTTCGCATACAGAATTCATCTGATACACGCAAGATGCTTTCAATGTAATGCCAGTGATTCAGTGTCAGATAAGGAAAGAAAATATCTGTGTATCTAAATTCCTCCTCAGCCACCTTTCTGAAATTCTCACAACCAAGCCACATCTTGAAAAGTCACTACTTAGTTACAGCAAACTCTGTTTGTGGGTGGGTGGGTTTCATACTCCTGGGTTCCCAGTTTCACTCTTAAACATTGCAGTGCTTTTCTCTATATGCCCCCATAATTTCGTTCTTTCTCGGGAGTTGTACAACTTTTTGCCATACCTTTCTAAAAACATCATTACTAAGGGCTTTAAGTTAAAACCTGCCCACATTTTGAGATCTTCTGGGGAGGCCTTTCTCTCTGTCTCAGCTCTTTTCATGGGTCAATTTGCTGAGAAGGTGGGAGAGGGCCTTCTTGGTGGCTTCACTTAGGCTCTGGAATTTCCTCGCTAAAAAGGTTGGCCCAAAACCCTCCTGGCTATCCTTTCATAGGAAGGTGAAGATCTTTTTAATTAAGTAGGACATTGACTGCTCAAGGGAGAGCACTCAGTGTGCCATATTATTTACATTTTGTTCTTCATTTTAATGGCTATGCTTTGAACTTCATTTATATATTTATTTTTGATAGTTTAACTGTATTTCGATTTTTTGCGCACATTAAGTTGCACCTGTTTTGAACTTTTATATGGTTTTACAACTGTGACTCCCATAATATCTCTCCCCCCAACCCGCCGGGCACTTTTGCTTTTGGCTCTACCTAGTATTGGAATGTGTGAAACTGACAACTTCTCTGAAATTGAATTGGACTTTTAGTTCAAAGGAAGTTCCTCACCCTTGAGGTTACGTTATTACTTTGAGGCCCCCAGAATTAATTGCTGATATTTAAAAATGTTACACTTGACTTTCATGTTATTGAAAAGCGATCAAATAGCAATGTCTTTATTTGAAAAAAAACCCACCAGAATGCTACAAATTGCTGGTGATAGTATAAAATATATCCAAGACGTGAAGCCACACCACTGTTCCTGAAAATAACTACATTAATGTTACATATATTGCTAAATAATGACTGCCTTCTAGTACAACACAAAGCTACATAGTTGTGTGTCTTCATGTTGTTCCCAATTTCTAGAGACCCTAAGGTAAACCTATTGTTCTTGTTTTTTTGGGGAAGGGGCAACATGTATTCAAAGAAGGTTTGATGCAGACTTCCCCTGAGGCTGAGAGAATATGACTTGTCCAAAGTCACCCAGTAGGCTTCCATGGCTGAGTGGGATTCAAATGCTGGTCTCTAGAGTGGTAGTCTCACTGGCTTACTGTGTTATATTTTAGGTGGTGGTGGGTGGTCCCCTGACATTAAGTCCAGTCATGTCTGACTCTGGGGTATGGTGCTCATCTCCATTTCTAAGCCAAAGAGCCAGCGTTGTCCGTAGACACCTCCAAGGTCATGTGGCCGGCATGACTGCATGGAGTGCCGTTACCTTCCCGCCGGAGCGGTACCTATTGATCTACTCACATTTGCATGTTTTCGAACTGCTAGGTTGGCAGAAGCTAGGGCTGACAGCGGAAGCTCACGCCGCTCCCCGGAATCGAACCTGCGACCTTTCGATCAACAAGCTCAGCAGCTCAGTGCTTTAACCCACTGCACCACCGGGGTATATTTTAATTATTCCAAAAAAGGGGATTAAGTACAAGTAAACAATTACTTCTAAAGCTTTCTTTCCAAGCTCTGACCTTGGAAATCTATATAAGGTTGTCATAAGGTTAAAGTGGGCTCAGAATTCTATACATCTCTTGCTGAGCGCATCAGAAAGCCAGGCAATTAAAAACTCACTAAATGTGTTTGTTTTGACATTCTCTTCTAGGACAGTTTTCCGGCTCGCTTTGGAGGAATTCATTTTGTCAATCAACCGTGGTACATCCATGCCCTCTACACAGTGATACGGCCCTTTTTAAAGGAAAAGACAAGGAAAAGGGTATTTATTTTTCTCTTCTTCCCCATCTGATTTTGCAGCATATCAATTGGGGTGCATCACTTGCATTGAAAAATAAGAAGCATTGTATATTTGTCAAGTTTTTTTATAATAATAATTTCAAAGACATATTCAGCTACCTTCAAAGCATATGCCTGCTATATCATGCAAGATTTCATATCTTTGGGGAAAGCTTTGGATATCCATCAGATGAGTCATAGGTTTCAAGATCTTAAGATTCTTTATAGATGTCCGGTCATCTTATTTTGAAATACGTGCTCCCTATAAAACATTATACATAACAATTTTTATAAAGAGGATGATAATGTGGCAAAGGACAAACAAACATATTTTTCAGCAACTACTCAACAATAAGCAGAAGCTATGATTTTAAAAGCTGTGCTATGCTTTAAAGAGATTCAAAAGTAAAACTAAGGCAGCTTGAATGAGTCTGAATAGAAATGAGAGAAGACGGCAATTTGTTCTGTTTGCTACAGGCAGTTAACCTGCTCTTTAAATTAAGCCTCAGAATAACTCCAGTGCTGAAGTTAAAACAATAGAGTAATATGTTCCCCACATGCACTTTGTCAATAGTTAGTCTCTCAAGTTCTGTACCCATGAGTACCAGTAACTTCCAAAGATAATCAAATGTATATTCAGTTAATATTTCTAAGGTATGGTGTTCTCTATGGATTTTACATTAGACAAAAATACAATGACTAAATTCTATAAATCAGTGTGAGCCTAAGTGGATATTCTTATCTGTTATTAACTGATAATAATAATACTTTATTTATACCCCGCTACCATCTCCCCAAGGGACTCGGTGCGGCTTACATGAGGCCGAGCCCACAATACATCAGTAATACAAACAATAACAACAATAATACAAACAATAAAATAAAACTCATAACAAAAAATAAGCAATAAACATTAACACAACAATGTTTAAAAAACCTATGGCTGGGCCAAATGTAATAATTAAAAATTTAAAGATAATGCTGAGCATGAATAGGTGAAATATGACTAGGATAGAGTTTTCGGAGAGGGATGGGGCGTGCAGACAATCCTAGATCATTAATAAAGTGCATTTAAGGACATATTGCTGGGAATATAGCAGTTTGACAGCCATAGTTCCATCCTATGAAATCCTGGCATTTGTAGTTCGTTGTGGAAGCAGAGTGCACTGGCAGAAATGGGTAAATTATCTAGCAAAACTACAAACCCCAAAGTTTTGTACCACTCAACTGTGGCAGTAAATGTGGTGTCAAACTGCTGTAGTTCTGTAGTGTGGATATGGCCTCAGAGGAGGAATGATGGCTGGTGTGCTGATCAAAGTCTGTGTTCATTGCCCATGTTCTTCATCAGGATGCTAAAGTGTTTGGCTTTGGCTGTGACCGCAGTGTGAAAAAGTGTACTTATAGAGAAATCTTCCTGTGTGTGTGTGCTTATGCACACGCGCGCACACACAGATACATGAGCACTAACATCTTTCCCTTTACAAGAACTGCCCTCCAGCATCATGTTTATAGGTTTTTGTTTTGTTTTTTGAAATGCAGCCAAATTTGAAAAGCAGCTTGAAATGGAGCGCAAAGTGAGTCTAGCATTTGGAAGGGAATAAAAGAAACCTCCTCTATAGATGCAGAAGCCCTTGAGGGTACTTGAAAAGGCTCACCTGATCACTGGCATCAACAGCCCATAGAAGAAATTGGAGAGAAGCAGCAGAATTAGCATATACTCTTGTAGTCTTCGCATTGAGATTTGATGAAGGAAGATCACATAATTTCTATGACAGATAACACAGATCTCTCTTGCAAAATATTTTAAACAATCCTTTTGGTGATGAGTGCTTTGTTTTCATTTTTTGAAAACTACAGATGTTATATACTCCAAGGGTTTTTGTTATTATTCTCTTTCTCTGTTTTCAGAAGCAATGTAGTGTTTCTCATTTGTATGCTTTATTTTATTTCAGGCTAGAGAATATGCTCAGGGAGACTTCAGTGGACTTAAAGAACCGTGATTCTTTATTCTTTTCAAATTAAGGACACACACTTAAAAGCTTCTCTTGCTAGATTTATTTGTGTCCTCTTTCCAGCTTTGTGAAACATCATTCCACTATGAGATATATTAGAAATAATCAGAATTTCAGAATTCATTCCCATGAGTTGGAGCCAGTGTTGCATGAACAGAATGCGCTCATGTAAGGAAGTCTGTTGAACACTTGTTATTCTTACGAGCTAGGTGGTTCTGATTTGAGTGAAGCACTCATTTTGTTTCAGTTTGTCCCATTCCTTCTCAAGTCCCAGCCCTTCTACGTAAGCAACATGTGGTGCATGAGCTTATTTTACAAAGTTTTTAGCATTCCCTACCAAGGAGTGCTGGTGCCTCGCCAAACTACAACTCCCAAGATCCCATTGCATTGAGCCGTTGCACTTAAAGGGGTGTTGAACTGCATTATTTCTACAGTGTAGAAGTCCAATGCATTCACTTTTGATGTTCCAGTGTATTTATATATACAGATATATTAATCTTTGGCATACATTGTTGGTAACCAGGATAATTTTTCTAGACTAGGAATGTAATTCCACACCAATTTCTTCTCAAAGAAAGCTACAAAGTCATTTTAGCAGTGATCTTCCCAATGTGAGAAAGTTATCTAAAACCATCCCACTTCTCAAAAATCTACAAAAATTATTCTGCAAATAACCCACATGCTGTTGTTTTGGGCAACCCCATCCCCCAGAAAATAATATTTATAGGTAGAAATCATATTTACTATATAGAAAAGGCTGTTTCCTATTTATTTATTTATTTATTTATAAGTTTTATATACCGGTCTTCTCACCTCCAAGGAGGAACTCAGGCCAGTTCACAACATGTGTTCATATACAATAATATATAAAACACAATGCATCATCATTACACATTAAAATATAATATGTTAAAATATAATATGTTATATATATGTTTCCTGAGGGGAAAATGTTTTGTATGCAACTCAAACCATGCACAATTTTTGTAGGTAAAACACCAATTACAGGAAATATAATCTCCATGCAGAAAATTCTGTTCCTTGTGCAAAACAACTGTGTGTGGATTTTATGAAAAATGAGTCCTGAACTGTGATCATTCTCCTTGGTCCAGAATTCTTCTCCTCGGGGTTTCAAAAAACAAACAATCATGTTTTTCAACAATGTAATTTTTTAAATATCCTTTTTATTCTTATTCTAGACTTGCATTAATGAGAAGTCTAATTTCTCTTGTCTGAACAGGAGACAGTGAGCTTAAAGCTCCTTACTTACTGAAACTTTCAGTTCAAATAGAAAATCTTTCATGATAAAGACTTTGACATTGTGCTTTAGGTCAGTATTTCTTAAGCTATGGTTCCAACCACTAATGGTATCCTCTTACCTCACATTGTGTCCCCAAAAAAACTGGCAGCAGGAAAGTTTTCTGAACATCACCTAATGGCAGTTTTAGACATTTACACTCATCTGTTGTGCAGTGTTTACAGTGAATTTTGCAGAAGATGTTTTAGCTGTACCAGATAAAAAGGAAAATCAGTCTGTTTAGCAAGCCTTGCAAATGCTGATTTGTTATCAGTAAAAGTTTGATTCCTATACTTATTTTATATACTTATATACCTGGGATAATGTAAAAATCTCTCAGGCAGAAAGGGATCCCCAAGGGAAAATGTTTAAGAAGCCCTGTTATAGGTCATCTAGTTCGTGTTTTAAAGATATTTCTCATCTTTTAACAGATATTTCTCCATGGAAATAACCTCAACAGTCTGCACCAGCTTATTCATCCTGAGATTCTGCCTTCTGAATTTGGAGGAATGCTGCCCCCTTACGATATGGGTACATGGGCACGAACACTGCTAGATCATGAATATGATGATGACAGTGAATATAATGTGGATTCCTACAACACTTGTGCAAAAGAAGTTGAAAAGGACCTATCTCCCAAATCCATGAAGAGGTATGTTGCATAGGGCTTCTAAAGCAGAGGGTGAAAGTTAGCAGATCACCAGACTGAATGTCAGCCATTGAAGATCAAGACGAAGTTGGGCAGGGATTTGGAGAATCCAAGCTGTAATCCCCACTGAGCTATGAAAATCATTGGGTGTCCTAATCATTCTCTCTCAGCTTAATCTATCTCACAGGGGTTTGGGCAGATAATGTGGGCCATGTATACTATCTTAAGGTCCCTGGAGATCAAATGGCATATAAAAATAATTTTTAAAAAATCAGTATTAAATATATGGTATGTCATTCAACCTTCTCCATAAAAGATAGGTCACATTAGTGATGTAAGATGATGGTATAATCCCATCTTGAATTATGGAATTCATGTTTATCCTGTGAAGAGGTGGATTCCAAGTGTGCATGAAGCAGATTGATATTTATATGTCTAGATTATACTGAGTCTCCTTTGGGTGAGAAGGGAGGAATATAAATAAAGTGTTATTATTATTATTATTATTATTATTATTATTATTATTAACAATAAAATGTCAAATTGCTAGGTGTAGGTAGAAAAGAAAGAGAGCTAATGTCCTATTTGTCATATGCCAAACATTGCCATCTCTACAGGAGACTGAAAAGTGCGCATCATTATAAATTTAGGAAGGAGGTAAATCTTAAACACTGAGTAACAGGGGTCACATTGTTGGTGGAAACATTATTTATTCATTATAGGGCTACATTACTATGTGGATATCAGAAGTTTGCAATTCTGCAATATCAGTAACAAGAATTGATTATTGATGTGAGTATTGCTATAGAGAAGAAAGAAAAGGAAATTCATTTCTAATCTTTCAGTATTGAGAGCCAGGGTGGCATCATGGTTTGAGTGTTGGTTTAGGAGACTGAGAGACTAGGCTTTGAATCCCTGGCCAGCCATGGAAATCCAAGTGAACTTTTCTCAGCCTTAGAAAAAAGGCAATGGAAAACTCCCTCTTAATTTTTTCCCCCAAGCAAATTATGCAATATGATTGCCATAAATAGGAATCAACCTACAGACACCTACAGGCCCGTAGCCAGGATTTTGATTTTTTTTTTGGGGGGGGGGGGGGAGGGGGCTGAGTCTGAGTGAAAGAGGGTCTACCTAGCAAACCTTTTGTATCATTACCCCAATACCCCCATGCATATGGGATATATTGAGTATGGTGATCAGATCATGATATGAATAAACATAACAGTTTAAATAATGCACCAGTAAGGCCTTTTCGCGAACCACCATGAGAATTTCGGGGGGGGGGGGTGAAGCCCCAGGCCACATGCCTGGACACCTAGCAACAGCAAAAATGATGTAGTGTTAGACATTATTTTATGTTGCTAAAAGTAATTTTATCACTCAATGTCCACTATAATCATTTAGCCTGTTAGCCTATTCATAGTTTTAATACATTGTTTACATTCCATGGGAAGTCTACAAAAACATGTTTCGTGTTAATCTTTAGGTTTTCCTGAAGTATTTTGGCTAGAAGTTGAATTATTTTTTTAAAAGCAGGCAATTGTTTTCTTTTGTGTTTTAAGGCAATGAATAATTGCCTGTATGTAAGCCGCCTTGAGTCCCCTTTGGGGTAGAGAAAGGAGGAGTATAAATAAGGTAAATAAAATAAAAACATATTTTTGGCTGAGACTCATCTTTCTCCTGACTGTGCAGAACATTTGGTGCTTAAACACATTTTTTTTGAGAAAGTTAAATAGGATCTCCAGGTAGCATGTGATGCCTGGTATCAAAATACTATGGTATGCTGGAAATATTCCATAGTCAGCAGGCTATGGCTAGGGATAGAAATCTGTTCTGCTTCTGCACTTAGGGAAGGAGTGGGCAGAGATGTCTTTGGTGGAGCGTTACACTCCGTGAGGCCCATAGAGTATTGTGATATTTTTCTGTAACCCGGTGTGAAATACGGATGGGAAGAAAATTGAGATGGGAATCCGAGAAACTTACTGAAACTGACTCAGAGATTTTCATAGCCATACTTATGGCTGGCATGAGGCTATATGCAATTTAAGCCCTTTCTACTGAGTTACCAGGCTATTGTCACATAATTACTCATACTAGTTTTGGCTTCAACTATAGCCAGCAAACCTATGTTTTCTGTGATCCATTGAATTCACTTAGGCTTTTAAAGGATCTGATAGCATTGTTATTGTTGTTGTTGTTGTTGTTATTATATTTATTTATACCCTGCTTTATCTCTCTTGAAAGGGACTCAAAGTAGTTTTTAATTAAAAACATTAGTACACAATTTAAATTTTACAAATATACAAACATTAAAACAGAATTAAATCTAAACAGTATTTCAAATTCACAGTTAAAAACCATTCAACATATTCAATGTGGATTCAAGTTAATACCACAGCACCTCCTAACTTGATCTTAAAAACTTCTGCTGCTGTACTTCTGTTTGTATCTGTCCAATTTACTCAGAAATGGGCAACCTGCAACCTGCAGGGTTTTGAACCTGCATTTAAAACCCCACTGCAAACACATTAGTTCAGGCATATGCAACAGGGATCTCTTCTTTTGAAGCCCACCAATTTGGAGGAGAGAATATCGGGGAGAGAGATAGATGGAACCAAATATTTCAATTTCTATCCACCACTGGCTTCAACCTTACCTAATGCTCATTTCCAATCAAAGATTGTTTGTCCCATGTGTCTTTTAATATAAAAAGGTTGTTTGCCTCTGCTTTAGAGCCATAGGAATAAGCTCCATTGACTGCACTCTATTTGCAACATTTCCTTTAGACTGGTTTCACTTATGCTGTTTCACTTATTAAATATATGTCTCTCTATACATGTTTACAAACTTTTTGTTCATGTTCGGGGAATTAGCATTTCCAGAAGTCAACAGATTTTTGTAATTGCAGCTACTATTAATGCTGACCTCCCTTCCATTTAACTGTACTATGTGTGTTTCATTTGTAACAATCCTTGAATCCCAGTTGAAGATAATGATGTTCACAATTGAATTGGGAGTCTAACTATTGGAGCCTACTTCACAACTTACTATGTTGTAAAGTTCCAACTTGCCTTATAACTACTAGCTTTATATATTAACTTAAGTGGGGCCTGTGCAACATTTTTGGATTTTATTTCAATGTTTATTTCTGCTTTCAAAGTATCAGATACTGAATTGATTTGAAAAAAGGGGGGTCATTCTAGGTAAGCTTGGAGGTCCTTACCTCCAATATGTTTCATTGTGAAGTAAGTGACTGTAAACAATTCAATATATTTCTGCCTGGAAAGAAAAAGAGTCAAAACATAACCTGGAAACCAACTGATTGATACCCTTGTGTTATCTTTCTCTATGCATGGAATATAATACTGGCAGAATGATCAGAGAAATATTTATTTCAAAAGATTCTAGAAATATTTCACTAATTAGTTTGAAAGATTGGCAACCAGGTTCCCTAGGTAATCTTTTGGGCCCATTGTCCTTTACGATTGGCCATGTTGGCTGAGGTTGGTGGGAGTTGTCCATAAGATCTTGAGAGGTATCATTGGTTGCCTACCATATTTCCCAAGCATATTTTCAAGAAACACCCACTTCTTTTTAAAATTTCTTGACCTCACTCCATGTGTCTTTTAATAATCCATATCAAACATTTGTTTTTAATACTTTTTCAGGTCTCAGTCCGTTGTGGACCCTGGAGTGTTAAAGCGTGTGGATAAAAGTGAAGAGGAAAACATGCAGCCATTGCTTTCACTTGACTAACAATGCCTGAGCATCAAACATGAATTGGGGTGGAAGGTATTGCCTTTCAGCAACAAGCAAACCATTGGGAGAAAATCAGAACCAGCTGGAGTTCTATTTTCATGTTAATGTAGCATAATGTAATGAGGCAGCAGGTTTTGCCAGTCATCCTGGAACATGGGTGCCCTGAGCTGGAAAACAGGGTGGGGATAATGGAAAGATATCAGTAATATATTCTGTAAGTGCCAACCTGTTTGTAAATAGAGTCTGTTCCTTCTCTCTGCATTTGTAAGTAAGGGTAGGGATGTAGTGTGGGGGGAAAATAGAGTGACTATTAAAATATGCCAGTTGAATGCACTGTAAAAGAACAGATAGTACTCAGATAAAAACAAACAAGAACATGTAAGTAAATTTCATCCTTTTTATACAAAGCTATATGACAGTTTTCATACTTTCCATAGTTTTCATTTAACAACAGAATGCAGAATCCTATAGACATTGTATATGGTGTGATGTTTCCAGTCTGATAAAATGATATTTCATAGACATTGCTATGGTTTGCAATTTGCATTATTTTTTTTGTAAAGAACATTTTAGTAGCAGGAAGCTGAGCACCATCCCTAGGTTTATGAGATATATCTAATTTTTAATATGTTCACACCAACTGTGGATTCCAGTACTCTCTGGGTCCTGACCAATTAGCTGGGCTTCAAAATGTCTGCCTCACACTTTGTTCATGTCTCAGAACTTTCCTCCTTGTATGGAACATACTCAGTAATGCCCTGCTATTAATTCATAATACTTAGCAGCAACAGACTGATGCATCATTTCTAAAACTTCTGAAACTGAAGTCTGAATACATATCTTTATATTTTTACCAGTCTCTACGTATAAAGTGTCAATGGTAGATGAGTATATTTAATCAAGGATTTATAAAAACAAAAAAATCATACCTATTTGGTGTGCCTAGAGTTTATTATAGATTGTATATTAAGACAATGTCGTTGTTATCATAGTAAATGATTTAAGTACAGCACCCTACTTCAGGCAAAAATTGATTATTGTTAAGTATGTAGTACAATGCCATGTTGAGGTCACTTTTTTTGTTTTGTGATGTAAATGTGTAGATGAAATATGTGCCATATTAGACATGGAATACATTTTTACCTCAAAAGACCAAACTGTCTCCAAAGTGGACTGTACATGGTCAGCTGTAGTTTAGGGGATATGTTTTCATCTTTGATGTGTGCTGATATGCATGACTATTTCTGCTGAACATCAAGGCAAGAATGTGTCCTACAACTGTCCAAACCTCTTTCATCAGGATTTAATATTCCATTTGAACAGAAATAACAAGTACTCTTGCTTGTAATAACCAAAATTGAATGTCTGAACTTTTAAGGTCTCTGAAGAAATGTATCAGAATCAGTTCAGGGATATTTGTGATAATTAGGACCAGAATTGTATTGGCATCCTACAGCCTATTGAAAATCTTCAGAGACTTTCAATTTCAAGAAGGGAGAATGACTTGCTTATTTTCATCACATCCCTACCATCCAGAGATTTATGAGTCTTGAAAAAAGAGGTCTCATTTTGTTCCTGCACTGTCCTTGTAGAATTTACTTGTTCATTCTCGCCAGTCATCATAAGGTTCAACACTATTCTGCCCTGAAAAACACCAAACTTTTGTCATTTTGGAAGCTAAACAAGGTTGGATCTAGTTAGTGATTGTGTAGGACACCATCAGGAAACCCTCGGGTAGGACTTGGAAAAAATCATAGCTGAAATCCTGGAGAGCTATTGCTGCCTGTCAGACTTGATAATTGAGTCTGACTCCAGTATAAGGTAGTTCTCTAGATTTCTGTGTGCTATTACTGTTTACCACAGCTGAATTTTATGGTAATATGGGGCTGTGGTGTCACAAAGACCATGTTATATGTGCCTGAATGCTAATTTGAGAGATTCTTATTTAATCTTAATTCCTCTTTCTCTAGTTTCCATTTTGTCAGTTGCGTCCTTTGAGGGCTAGAACATTCACTTGGTTACATTATTAAACTATTCATCATTCTAGTAGCAATGGGCTATTACATACAGTGTCACTCAGATAGACTTCTGCTTGTGAGTGTGATTCTACCTCTTTCCCACATAGCATCACCAGATCTGCTCTGGAAGATCTCCTAAGCTGAGGAGCATGCATGAAACTGCAAAGCAGAAGGAGAATCTACTCCACTGCTTGGAGATAGTAGCTTACAACTACAAATTATTGTGAAGAACCAATTATATGTCAAAACAGAAAGACTTTAGAGTTAGGAAAAATGCAACCATGGGAACACCAACCCAAACTGTAAAATTGTTGTCAGGGATAGCTTTTAATTGGGAATAATACCCAAAGATTTTGAGTTAAAAAATGATTACCTCTTGGATGATGAATTGTGTTCCTGTGGCTTCCCTTAGGCTGTTTTATAGCATTTCCTGCAACAGGTACTATTAGACGATCTAAGCTTTTTGTGGCACACTTGTATGATACATGCTTTCACGCGCACCAACTTTACATTCATACTGCACGTTAGTGAGTATGCATTAAAAAGAAAATCCATGCAAATAGGATGGGGCTATGAACATTTCATGTTATTAGCTCTTGATGGATAATAACCAGCCTCAGCATGTTGCTAGAAATACAGCTGAAGCCCTTTCATCCACAATAATACAAATACTGCATGTATCTAACTTAGTATGTGTGACTCACAGGACTGATGAAGAAGTGATTTCAATAAATATTTGCTATTTTACACTAAAAATCCCTAAAGCTTAGAAGTCTTCAATACAGTGCTACTCTTTCAGCATGGTATCATTAGGATGAGAATGCTGTGGGACATTTGGAATCTTTATGCCATAAATCAACAGGGTAGTGAAATTTGGGGGTGCTATTATCTATTTGAATAAGTTGTCACATACTTTTGACTTTATAATGGATTAACATAATTTAGATGCAACCGTTTTCACCACCAGCAATAGTAACAGTAGAAATGACAAAATGCTGAGCTATGCACATATATTAAATTTGGCCCTTTTCCTATCTATGTGATGGAAGAAAAACACAAGAGCTGAAAATATCCTTATATAACCACCACCTATAAAGATAAATGTTTCGTAGCCTTTCTAGAGTGGATTGCCAACATGCATATTTCATGCCTGGGAAATTATAATTGCCAAATGAATGCCAAATAAGGTGTTATGTTGTGGCAAATCAGAACTGGATTGTGTTGATTGGATTAAAGAGTAGTGGATGAATGTTCCTTCTGTTGGTCCTTGGGGAAAAGGGTGGGTGGTGTGTTAGAAAGTTTGGCTAGGTAACCTTTTAATCCTTTCAAACTGTCATATGGAAGCTGTCATGCCCACATGGACATCGAGCTCCAAGAACTCTTCATTAATTCTTCACAAAACAGGCATGTTTTGAACTGTCACATTAATTTTGTCTTCATGCTGCTAGACTGGCTGAGCTACATTTGAAGGACCTGGCTGAGTGGGAGAGTGGACTCTCTCCACAAATAGCTGGAAGAGCTATCCTTTCAGTAGGACAGTATGTATATTAATGCTCCATCCCTTTACTTTTTAATATTTGTTCATCTGCAAATTGGAAAGAAATTTTCACTTGCTAAGTACAGAACTCAATTCTCTATATCACTAAGGCTTGCCCCACTCATAATCCCAAATGTGTGCAATCTAGGTAAAATAAATCAGAGGCTTGGTTTGGCAATGTTGCTTATTGGACTATTGGCCACAGAAAAGCAGAGGCCAAGCTGTGAGTCAAGGTTTTCTTGGTTGGATGACTCTAATTCATAACAATGAAAGATTGGGGATTTTCCCCTAAGTAGTGTCAGAACTAATTTTTCTGATGTTAACATGTTCCTTATTTAAATTTCAGTAAAGTCAGTAGTGATTAACCATGGCTGACAGTTTCCAAATATCTGGAGACAGAGCCATGGCTCACATGGCTTTACTAATTTCACTTTACAAAAACTGAGAGCTTGTGTCCCTCTATTTCATTTAAATACCTTTGTAAAAGTCATTGTTCTTAGAACCTTTATTAAACTCTGTGAAAGAAAAATCAGTATGGAATGTCACGACTCCTCTGTTCAGTGAAGAACTTGCTTTTGTTTTATTTTTGCATTTGAATTCTTGTCTGTGTGTGCACCCTTAACTGCAGTTTATGAAATGCATTCTAATGTCTAATTCATGTATGGCATTCAGATAGTCTTCTCAGGAGGTGGTGATTTTACATAATTCACCCTCCATATTTCAGTAAAAACAAACTAAGATATTCGAAAGGAAGAAGACTCACAGCAGAATGTCTGGTTTTCTAAGAATTTCAGCAGATTATAGTTAATTTCTGCTACTAGGTAAGAATATAGTGCTATGAGATTATTTAATTGGTTCAATTTCTCTTCAGAATTTAAGAAGATTTCTAACACAATCAGAAAAAAATGCAATAAAAGAAACCTAGCCATTTTTTGGTGATTGTTGCATTACTTGATCTTTCTGAGTTCGGTTCCAAAGCAGATTTTCCATCTTTGCTTTTCCCTAGCAGAAATTCCCAGCTTTGCAGGTCTTACAGAAAACTTTTGGTTTCTACACATGTCTTCTTACTCTTTTCTCTCAGTATGGAAAACATTCAGATCTTACCAGCTCTTCATTTTTGGCCCATTTTGCCACTTTGTTGCATAGCAAGGAAGGAGTGTGCCACACGCCATCAAACAACGCACAGCAGGCCCTGCCCACATTCCTCCCAAAGTGGGGTGGAAGCTCTGAAAGGTGCTTCCTCCTCCACTACAGGAAGGAAAGTGTAGTTTGGGTAGCCCATATGATGGGGGAAAGGGTGGCAGGGCAATGCACGTTGCCATCCTTTCCCCCATCTGATGAGGGAAAGAGCGCGGGCGCGGGGGCACCACAAGCTGCCCTACATGCCTTCCCTTTTGCCAGCAATTGCTGGTGCAATGGCATGGCCCAAAAGGGCCATGTGAAGAGGTCCTTAGTCTAAAATTTAAAAGAAATGTATTTGTGAGTGCCTTTAAGTTGCCTGATGACTTACGGCAACATCATGAATTTCATGGGGTTTTCTTAGGCAAGGAATATGTAGAAGTGATGTGCCAGTTCCTTTCTCTGAAATATAGCTAATAGCACCTGGAATTTATTGTCAGTCTCCCATGCTGCTTAGCTTACAAGATTAGCTGGAATCTGATGCTTTTAATGTATTTAGGCTCTGTCTAAACCTATGTGGGTAGCATCCACTGGACAAAACCCAGTGTGAACTCACTGCATATCCAAATAGGATCTTCTTTTACTAGCCCTGACCCCTTTTCTTTATATTTGGTTTTCTTTGCCCTTTCATAGAATCATTGAGTTGGAAGAGACCTCACGGGCCATCCAGTCCAAGAAGCAGGAAAATTGCATTCAAAGCATCCCCGACAGATGGCCATCCAGCCTCTTTATTTTTATCAGACGTTTTCCTCTCTTCACATTTCTACTGTCCCCTTTATTCCCTCTTCACTTTTATCACTAGAATGGTATTTTCTCTTCATGTATGGTATTTTCTCCTTCTCTATTTAAAAGATCTTAGGACATTGTACAGTACAATCAATGAAATTTATATTCCGTTAAATAAAATTGTTTTTAAGGCTATAATACATTAAACAACTTAGTACAATGAAATAAATACCATCTAAAATATTTGAAAATGTTTGAGTGCTGTAGGCCAGTGTTTCTTAAGCTATCCTATTTGAAGTGATTGGGAGCCCCCCACCTCCTTGACAGGACCAACACCTTGTTTGTAACCATTGGCTTTAACTCTTTCTTTCTATCCTGAAAAGTCACTGTAGACCAACAGCCAATGAGTTGTATATGTTGTTCACAATTACCACTTTGAATAGTTCTACTGCAACGTCTCCTGCAAAACCACTGAATCCCTTCCTTTATTCTTGCTTTATACAGAACTTTATCAAATCTTAATACAGCAGCTCCAGGGCTTGTGAGTCAAGTGTGGATGTGTGGGGAACTGCTAGTTCAAGAGTATGGGGCATGTTTCAAGTCAACATGCATACGAATATAGGATCATGTCATTTGTGGAAAAAAAATTCAAAAACACATTAAGGCAACATGAACTAGATTTTCCTGATCTTTCTTGATTTCTAACTCTGTCTCCTAATATGGGTCTGTGAGTAGAACTGCCAATCTCCTCCCACCAGTCCTTATTTGTATCCATCATTCATGCACCAAGATCATTACTTGGCACAATATTTAAATTTCAGATTCCTGTCCTACCTTGCAATGCAACAGTGATAATAGTTGTTGATAACAGACAAAATAAACTATCCTTTAAAGTGTTCAAAGCTATATAAAGCAAGCCGCCCTGAGTCCCCTTGTGGGGAGAAGGGTGGGATAGAACTGCATGTAATAAATAAATAAGAATGGGAAAAACAATGTAGCAGATATAAATGCTTTAAGCATATATAATTTTGACTCATGCCTCAGACAGGAGCAGGAATCATTATACCTTGTGGGCTGCATGATTCCCGCTCCTGATTCCCGCTCTTTGGGATGAGGCCAATGTGACCCTTGAGAACTCCAAGAAGGCCCCACAAGGCCTTAGCATCCCAAAAGAAAGTCAAATATGCACTTACATTTTTAGGGCTCTGCAAAGCTGTTATAGGTCCCCAGCTCTCAAACAATAAGAACCCTTCTACTAATATCACTTCAGGTCACCCAAGGTGTTGAGCATAGTGTTCCAGTGCAGGACTCCAGACCTCCTAAGGCTCTAGTTCAATGATCCACAGGCCTTATGATATGGGAACTAAGCCTAGTGGGTTCTTGGATGAATTGAAAATATCTCTAGAACAGTGCTTCTTAAGCTGTCTGATGTTTGGGACCTGCAGGGTATTTTCCCCCAGTGTGCCAGGAACTGGCACCATATTTGTGTTCATTCCCGAATGTTTCCTGTGAATTAGCAACCAAGTGGTCAACAAATCCCACTTGTTAATCTCTCTGATGTGGTAGACTGCTTTTTTTATCTCTCAATGTGCCACAGGCAAACACCATGCTTGACTACAGCTAATCCTAGAAATTAGCCAATGGCTCACCAACTAGCATTAGTGCACAGAACACCACTTGAAGTAGCACTGTCCTGGAGCATGCACCATTCATTTGCCAATATTTTTCCAAGAAGACATGACCATGGGGATAATGTGAGAATAGAGCTACCAGGCATTCCTTCAAAACAGGAGTTGGCTTTGCAAGCATTTCACTTTCCTTCTTTAAGATTAGTTAGAACCACAGAGTGGTTCGCCAGCCTTCACCAGCAGGGTGATTCGCCAGCCTCCGTGGCGAATCTGCGAGACAGCAGGGCAGTCCTGACATCCTGCCTCTCCAGCAGCAGCTTCCCCATCACACAAGAGGAAGTGTCACCACACAGCTTCCCCACCACCGCACTGGTCCCATGGTTTTCAATGGAAGTGCCCTGTGTTCTGAGCGAAGCATTGTAGAATGCTTTCACTCCAGTTGAGCCACAGCACTAGTGAGCCTGCATCTTTTGATGGGTGGTGTGGATCTCCATAGCTCAACTGAGGTAAAAGCATCCTACGACAGTGCCAAAAAATTGTGTATACTTGCAGCAATTAAAAGTAATGTAAACATTCCTTTTCAAATTCTGACATATGATACATATTAAAGGCATCATATCAATATGACATATGTATAACAACACCTGCTTGATATTTTAAAATGTGCAATCCATTGGTTATTATAATGTTCTGCTATTGAATCAGGAGTATTTATAGTTTGTATTACCATTTTTAAGGTGGAGAATATAAATAAGAAACCTAAATATTTATCAATTGTTCTTGCTAATAACACATCAACACACAACATTATTTTTAAAGGTGACAGAGAAGTTTGTTTTTCCACCTCCTGAAATTATTCCCTAGTGATGAGATTGAATGTTATTATCCTGGCAAATGGCATATATTTTTCAGGTCATAAGAAAAATTGAGAACTGACGCATCATACAAAAATGGTGAAGGCTTTTCAGCACACGCAAACAAAAAAGATTTTAAGCTAACCCATGGCAGCATATTTTTCTGTCCAAAAATAAATGCAAAGCTAAATGAGGAAACATTTTTAGAGATAGCATTGTCTGAGGGCTTGTTTATATCAATAGCTAGCTTATAGGAACAGGAGGAGCATTTCACTTTATTTTTTATGATACTTCCGTGTTACCTAGTAATCAATTTCATTTCTTGTGTATGGTTTAGGATGAGGTTAAAACTGAAAATAAATTATGCTGAAAGGTGATGTAGAAAATTGTGCAGTCATGTTAGTGAGACCTGCAAATGCTGGATTTGAATGGGGAAAATACTCTTTTTAAAAAATGTGGAATCAAATTCTGAGTGATAGATTCAAAGGAGGAAAGGCAATATGGTGTCATTGTTGCATATGTCTATGGCGGCTATGTATCAGGCATGAGCAAACTTTGGTCCTCCTAGTGTTTTGGACTTTAACTTCCACAATTCCTAACAGCCAGTAAGCTGGCTGGGATTTCTGGCAGTCGTAAGTCCAAAAACTGCTGTATATGGTGTTATTAAAAATCTGTTTTCAAATGAAGGAGGGGCCAAATCTCCATGTTCAATTCTGATGAGATGAAATTAGTATGCAATTACATTAGTTTTTCCAATTTCATGTGGGGGATAGTTTTATGAAATGTACACCCTGTGTAGTACAGACGGTGCATTCAACGTCAGAGGAAGTGCTTAAGTTTTAAATTAAAGATAATACTGGGATCACAATATGGGGGGCAAACTGATAATATTAGCTTACTATATGAATTTGTCAAAGTACCAGAACTTGGAAATTGTACTTTTTGGACTAGAAAATCCCACAATTATCAATTATTGATATCAATAAGCATTGCAAGAGTAGTAGGCTGAAAAATCTGCCTCTCTTTATGTCATGAATATATGTAAGAACTGACTGTAAATCATGTTGCAGATAAAAGAGATTGAGGAGAGAGAGGAGGGGTCTTTTTCTTTTCTTGTTGACTGTCATGACTGGAAAGAACTATTA